CTGTGTCCAGCTCCGCGGGCGCCCTTGCTGCCTCTGCTCTTTGTGTTTGCTTCTTGCCTCTCCCTCCCACACTTTCTCCTCCTCCTTCAGGTATCTGCTTACACATCACAGCCACCAAAGAGGGGACAGTATTGACACAAAGCTGGACGTCCCTTTTGAGTTTTCCAACTGTGCCCTCTTCTATACCTGTCATGGCATTTATGTCTCTGTACCGAAATTGCCTGTTCATCTATTTTTCCAGTTTACGGTACATGATTTTTCAGGGTGGACTCTGTCATCTTCATCTTGTGATTCCAGTGCTTGTCACAGTGCCTTAGTACATGGTTGCTGAGTAAATGAATGAAGAATGAGAAAACCAGGGGCTCTGATCCTTAGCCACAAAAGCAGTTAATTCAACGTGCAGCCCTGGGCAAAATGTAGAATAGTAATCTTGTATTTTGTGTTGTAATCGTATGTAGGTATTTTTCATTCTTGTTAAAACTTAGAAGAGTCTCAGCTTTTCTTAAAAAATAAACTGACATTTAGTTACCTATGAAAGTATTTTAAGTAAAGAATCTAATTCTTTCATTTCCTTTCCAGCTACTACTGAACTTGAATCTAAGTCCTACAGACTCTCTAGTAGCCTTAATGGACGAGTCAAGTCCAAGTCCAGATCTGGTTTCGAAAGCACGTGAAGAATATGTGGAGATTTTGAAGAATAAGTAGAATGATCTGCAAGATAAATAGTAAACGTTTACCTGCTGGGCTGTTTGCCTAACATTTCATTTACTTCCCGTTATGTAAGATACTGACACTGTTTATTAAGCGAAAATACTCTTGCATTCTCTGTGCATGATTAAAATTGATGTAGTATTTTAAACCACGTTTCTCTGCATCTCATTGACTTTTAAGCAGATTTTGGGAATAAAACCCAGCACTTTGGAGTATTATATACTCAAACTGAGCCTGGATGCCAGCTGTTTAAACAGCACCCAGCCAACCACCAAACTTGTCATTGACATTGAGCCGTGTTGATAGCTTTTTTGAATTTTCCATCGTTAATCACTGTCTGTAGACCTAAAGATTTAGACAGACAGCGTTTGGATCTGCTTTGGCTGTTTCAGTGTTCTGATGGATCACAACAATCGTTACAGTGCCATCACGCTTTCTATATGTTACCTTAAACACTGATTTCACAGATGTTTCCTCATGGAGAAACGAAATCTGCCTCAGGCTTTTCATCTTATTTATTTACTTTTTGGAAACAGTCTTAAAATTAGAGACAAGTTCCGAGCACCAGACTCTAACGGACATTGTCACAAACCTGCCGTCTCTCCCGTACATTCTCCTAAGGCGTTCTCTATTTTCCCTAAATGTCAGTTGTTCTACCATAAGTGCCCTTTCTCGCCCCTCTCACCAAGAAGTCATTTGTTTTTCAGAAAATGCCTTTCTTCTTTTCCTGTCACTTATTAAATTGCATATAAGCCCCCACTTCTAGCCACCCCTTCAAATCCCATTGCTTTGTGAACTCCTGCATGTATTCATACGTAATTTTTTTCTCACAGTAATCTGTTTTAGTCAATTTAATTTGCAGGTTCCCAATCACTGAATGTAAGATGGTAAAGGAAATACTCTCCTTCTCAACAATTTCCAGGAGCTAAATTTTTAATAACTCCTTAGATCCTTTATTCCCTTTTCTGTCTTTTCAGTGTGCTTACTTGGCAAAGCTCCCAGCTGCACAACAGACTGATTCTCACTCTTCCCCCTTACATCCCCCCAGGCATCTAAGTGCTGCTGAAGAAAGTCACGCACTGCCCAGCGATCCTGCTACTTTTATTTAGTTAACTTGCACCTTCTTCCTTCTCAGTGATGATTTCAAATTTCCCTCTCTGTAAACATCTCCCTCTGTTTCTTCCCTCTCACGTGAACCAGACAGTCTTACTTCTGACGACAAACTTCCTGAAGGATTTGCCTGCTTCTCCACCAGCAGTCTGTCCCCACCCACTCTGGTGTGTCTTCCCTTCCTCCGTTCCCACGCAGCGAGTCTCTGATGACTCCCACGTCTAAACCAAAGTGACACCTTTCCAGCCCTTGTCTAACTGAACTTCTCATTCCTCCAGGCATTCCATGTAACTGACCTCTATAACTGACTGCTGCCTGCAGCTTCCTCTTTAGTCTTTAGCTGAAGAGGATGTTGAAGGTGAGGGCTGCAGCCTTCTTGGTGAGTTCACTCAGTTTACCCTGGCTGTCTCCCATCGGTATACACAGGAAATATATGTTATTCAATTTTTGTTTTATTTTTCTCCTGTTAGTCTGCCTCATGTCAGGTTAATTCTTAGACCAGCCAGATGAGCCTAGAAGAGTGGAGGACCGCTCCCCGCCCCGACCCCAGCTCAAGCCTGAGCACAGGTAGCTGTGCTCATTCACAGGGGGCGTGGGCGCTGCCGCGCCTGCAGGGAAGAGATCGATGGCGAACGCCGCTCTTCCTCCAGCACTAGCCAGTGAGCTGAAGCTCACCTGAATGTCCTCCAGGCTGAGCTGGGGTCACCGCTCCCGGCAGCAGAAGACTGCCTTTGTGAAAGAAAACAAAAATGGAGTCTGCATTGCTCGAGAGGGCTCACGAAGGAGGTGTGACTTACGCACATCTCAGCCCACAGAGAATCCGGCCCCGTGAGCATTTATTGCCCTAATGAAGTCATCCGGAACGCCTGCCAGAAACTTCAGCTACTGACCAAGCCCTCACCTTGAAATAAGCTGTGATTCCTTAAGGACACAGGTTTCCTGACTGGCACATCAGTGTCAGTCACAATTCTCATCAGGCAACTTTTGACAGCCTCTTCGTTTTTTGTCTTTATAAGCCCCTGACTCCCGTCCTTGAAACACTCAGTTTTACCCAAATCTGTGTCTCCCAAGTCGCAATTTATTTCTTCCAGTTTATTGAGAGATAACTGACATCAGCACTGTATTTTAAGTTTAAGGCATACAGCACCAATTTCACACCGCCCTTGGCTGAGACCCCCCAGCTAACACAGGTGAGGCAGAGCAGCGCACAGGCCAGGGGCAGGGGCTCAGGGCGGGAATGGCAGAAAATCTGAACTTGCAGGGGCGGGCCCAGGGTCAAGCTGGCTGAAGCCAGGAGCCCTGCCCCTGACCAGGTCCTGGGGGATCTGGCAGGTAGGGGAGGGGGTCTCGGGAAGCTCTGTGCGCCAAAGTTGGGTTTACCACCCTGACTCTCCCTTTAGCCTTCTCTGTGCCATTGATTTTTCCACAGCTCAGTTGGCCCATCTGTAAAATGGAAACTATATGTGAGGGACTCCACTGAGACCTGCGTCCCGTTGCTGCCGACGACCACCGTGGGGCCTGGGCGAGCCTCCGTTCCCCTTTGGGGCTCCACTTCACCAGCCATAAGATGAGAGGTTTGGACGGGGCAGGCTTTAGGGATTCTCTCTTCACGGTGGGATTCAGGTAAGCCTCAACTTGAGCCCAGGAAATGTGGGTTCTGTGACCTTGGCCAAGGCCCTACACCTTTCTGAGCTGCCTCGGTTTCCTCACCTGCAAAATGGGGACCACACAGGTCCCTACTTCAGAGGATGGGCGTGCAGCTCTGAAACAATCCACATAGACTGATCCCACAGGAGCTGCCCGAGGACCCCCAGCTCCTGTTAGCAGAGGGAGTCAGTGCAGAGCTCAGGAGTCAGGCAGCCTGCACTGGGATTCAGAACCCACCTGGTGAGGACATCCCTGGAATTCAGTGGCTGTTCTCACTGGGCCTCAGTTTCCTCAGCTATAGAGTGGGGATGATAACGTTTCCAAACGGTTGATTTCAGACTATGAGGATGCAAGAACCACGTGACATGCCTGTCATGGTGCCTGGCCCACAGCAGGCACCCAGTACCTGCCAGAGGTGAGGTTGAAGTTGCGGGTGATGAGAAAGCAATTCCAGGCAGATGCAGCAAAGCCCCTTTGTCCCCCGGCTCTCCACATGGACATTCCCTCCTGCTGTGGGTCCCTCAGCTTTCTGGCTCTGATGTGCTCATCTCAGCCAGAAGGTTCAGGATCTTGTAGGGGCTACAGGTCCCTCAGTCCTGGGAGCCCCTAAATCTTGTGGTTATTAGACCCCATGTGCCAAGCCCCAGCAATGATGTTCACCACAGGCAATTGCTTGGATCTTGGCCAAAATTGGGGGGATGAACAGAGGACCCCTCTGACCGCCCTCCTCAGTCCCTGTGATACTTAGGGCCAAGGAACGCAGAGCACTCGGGGAGGAGGCCGGATTTGGTGCTGGAATAGGAAAGCTTGGATCTGCTGCAGACTGGCGGAGTGCCTCCAGGGGCCTCAGCATCCTCACCTCTGAAGTGAGATGCTGCCCTCTGGCTTGAATGGTCAGGGAGTTTTGGGAAAGGACCCGGCTCACAGTAGGTGCTTCAGTTATGTCGGCATTCTCCACTCCCCTAGAGGGGGAGAAAGGGGAGTCAGCTCACGTCCAGAGCTCTGCCCTGGTGTGTGTGCCTGGTGCCACTGGGGATGTTGGGGAGGACCAGCTGTCAGTCTGAGGTAGGATTGAAGGAACATCATGGTGTATGAGGAGCTGAAACTCTGCCTTCAGAGCCGCTCACGTGGGTCAGAATCCCTGCAGGGTAGCTGAGCAACGATGCTGAAAATCTAGGAACAAAAGCTGTCCGGTTTCCCCTTTCACCTTGCAGGCAGTGCACGTGCTGCTCAGTTATCCTGGTCATCACAGTTCAGATTGTCCCTGTCACAGATCACCAGCAGGAGGGCTTCACACCCACCAGGCCCCCAGACCCACTTCAGCTGCCAATGGCAAAGCAGAGCTGGTGGTGGGGTCCCTGACCAACCAGCACCCCTCCCCAGTGTCCCCCAGCCAGCCTCTGAACTCCATCTGTTCATCTTCACCCCATCCTCTAAGGATAGGTCCGCTCCTGCTCAAGAAATGGAAATGGCTCCCTAGTGCCCACGCCATCAAGTCTAACTACACAGCTGTCTTTCATGTGTGTCCGTGTAATGTCTGCAGCCAGCATCCTCTTTCCCTAGGCAACTTCCTGACTGTAAGACCCATTCCTCCCTCCAGGCCTTGTTCCTTGCTGTCCCCACACCTGGAATGTCGTCCTTCTGGCATCGCTCTGGAGCCCAGCTCAAGTGGACTTCAAGTGAGTCCTTGCTCAAGAAACCCATCCTGACCTTCTTCTCTGAGCTCCCAGGGCACCAAGTGCCACCACAGTCCAGCCCAAAGCTCTTAGTTTCATCCTTGGTACGTTTCCCTTTTCACCTACATCAGAGGCTTAACATACTACTGCCCAAGGGCCACATTTGGCTCAGCCACTGCCTGTTTTTCTGAGTGGAGTTTTAGTGGAACACTGTCACATCCCTTTGTTTCCGTGTTGCCTGCAGCTCTCTCATCCCACAGTGGCAGAACCAAGTACCTGCAGTGGAGACAGTATGGCTCCAAAGCCTCAAATATTTACTAGCTTGCACTTGCAGAAAAAGTTTGCTGACCCCCAGTCTAGACTGAAAATCCAGAAGGACTTTTCCCTTCAAAGGAAGGTTTGGGCACCTGTGTGCTTGAAAATTCTTGGTGATGATTTTTTTCTCAGTGGAAGACCCCCCAGCCATGCCTGGTTCCTCTTTGTCCCCCCCCAGACTTCGGCATCAGCTGGGAGGCAGGGGGACACCTGAGGGGCCTCATCCATCTTAACCCTGCCTAGAGCAGCTCCAAACTCCACCCCACTTCCTGGGCCCAGCCACAGATCCCCTACCTTGTCCACAAAGCCCCTGTCCTGCCTGACTTCACAGTCCAGGTCGCAGTCCAGGGCTGTGTCTGCAAGGGAGGGCAGAGGGTAAGTCACGACAGGGTTCCCAGGAGCC